ATTATGAGAGTAAACTTTGACCATCAATGTGGTCATAACTCATACACATTCATGTTTAGAAAAATGCGCATAACCTCAAAATTTGCCTTTTACATATTCCATTTCACTGATTTGAGTGTAGAAGCATATTAATTATTTATGGATTGTTTTTCCCAGTTTGTAGTACCAAATTCTGAAGGTAGTTTCATTCCATATGTAAAGTGATAAATATACAAAAAACACACTTGAGAAGGTAAAATTTGCAAACACAGAAGTTAACATGAATAATGAACATGTAAGATACTTCACTCAATACGTGGGAGACACTTAATGTAGAGAAAACTGAAAAAAAAACATGTTGTATCTTAATTTGTTACATCTTTTGGGTCCTGTTCTTGATCATCACCCTTGAGGTTTCTGTATCTGTAAAGCCAAGAACATGTAAGAAAGTAGCCAAGATTCAAGATTCCTCCTATGGCTAAAACCCAGTAAACATTGTCAACTCTTCCATTATTAATGTTATCTGGTAACCACGCCGTAGTCCTCTGGATCAGATCGATTAGAGCGGTGCTCAAATAGAAAGAGAGTCCAATTGCCATTGGGTTCAACGAAGTCGCAGTGTTCCTCAGAGACTCAGGGAATTCTCCATAGAATAATTCAACATTTGCTGGTAATTGGAAGGCCTCGCCTATTACTACTATCACGAGAGGAGGAAACAGCCATAGCACTGACATGAGATGCTCGTTTCCAACTGTTTTCAGCCTCTTTGCTTCCACAACCGCAGAGATTGCCATGCTTAGGATGACGAGAACTTGGCCTATACCGACTTTTTTAAGTGGTGTTAGTGGCTTATGTGTTAGCTTCTGATACATTGGATAGACAAGCGAGTTGTTCACTATGATGACGATGCATGAAGAGATAAGTACTATGACTAGGAGGGAACCAGCCGGGACTTTGAAGTGCTGGCCGAGCCCACGGTCCGTAACAAGAGCTTGGAGTACAATCAAGCTTGATTGCATCACTATGGGAGTACTAACGAAGATGATAGCTAGACACAGAGGAACAAGTCGGAGAATGGCTTTGAAATCTTCTACTTCCTGAACAGAGCATAGCCTCCAGATGTTGTTTATCAAGTCTCCTTCGGTCTTCAACGCTGCTCGGTTCAAGAACCTGCAAAAATAAGAAGCCTCTTTCAGTTTCATGAGTCAGGCAAGCTTTTTTGTTTTCACCTGAAGCTCTTGGAGCACAAGTCTTAGCCTCTTTTCCAAGCCCACAGTGATGATAGTCTTCTTCTTTCAAAGAGAAATGATGTTCTTCGACTTACGAGCAGAGAAATGAAAGCAGAAGCCGAGATGATGGGAATGTTTCCAAAGAAAGAATCGGCTAGAATGGCTGCAACAAAAGGCAACATGCTGAGGCAACCATTGACAATGTTTGAAAATTGAGCAGCAGCGATGTTCTTGATGTTGAATTCCTCAATCAAGAAGACGATCAAGTTCAATACGCATCCAAAAGAAGTCACCGAAGTGCCTAACAACGTAACTGCACCACATACAACCCCACAAAATAATCGATACTTATCTCTGTCTTAGTTTCAAAACATAGACTTCTTACCCATCATGAAAGGAAAAGTGATCCAGCCACCATGCTTGTTGCTTGGATCCCCAGAACTCTGTGCTTCTGTGTCACCAGAGACTGAACTAGCCATTACAGAGGAAGTAAGAGTTATCTGGAC